TTTTAATGGAGGGTGACAAGTTGCTATCTTTCCCGGATGTCTCTGAGTACTTCTAAAACAATAACCGTCCTTTGCAATTCACGTAGAGAGCTACAATATATTTCTGGATCACTTTCCAAAACCATGCAATAGTCGCTGTAACCAGACACTCATAGAAGATAGCATGAAAAACCACGAAATTGCTGATACAATTGGATTGAATTGCCTCTGATACGTACTCACTTGGTCGTTGACCGATGGTCAGGACGACCATTGACCATCCACCCTGAAATGTCGCACTCAACTAATGGTGTTGCACCTTGTGTGACGCGTTCACGGCACCGCTCACTGATTGGATAATCCTTTCGAGGAAGTCACGCTGATGCAAGTGATCAGAGACAGTGTGATTTGAAGTCAAAATATGCAAGCGAATATCGATCAGAGAGAACCAGAATGTCTTGAAAATGCTGAAACAGCCAGGTGCAACTCAGAGCTCCGTAGGCAAGTCACTTGGAATTTCACGAAAAACTGTTTATGATGTTGTATGCAATCGTACAAAGTAAGAAACAAGCAACTCATGTGCCTTAGTTTATAGGTCTGTGGGGAAAGTTTAGCGGAACCACGTGATGCAGTGGACGAGTTTCGAGCGGGGTTACCGCAGTTGATACAAGGATATGTTGACTGTGATATTTTTAATGTAGAGGAAACAGCTTTGTAATACAGGCAGCTCCAAGAAGGAATAATGAATCTGAAAGGAAAGACAGTTTCTGGGTCCAAGAAATCCAGAGAGGGTCACGTTACTGCCTTGTGGGAGCATGACTGGAAAAAAGTTATCACCGTTGATGATTGGAAAGTTTCAAACCCCACGATGCCTCCGAGGTATAGATAGAAAAAGCCTTCCATGCAGTTATAATTCTTCAAAGAACATGTGATAACTTCCACATTGATAACTTCTACGTTGTCACAGTTGGCTGTCCGATGTCAACCGCAAAATGGTTTCTCAAAGGCGATCTATTTTACTATTTATGGACAACAACCAAGCAGCAGTATTTTCCAATGTCAAATTGGTATGGCTGTCTCCGAACTGTTCTTCGATGTTACAACCAATGGATCAGGATGTGATTTGGTCTTTCAAATGTTCGTTTCGGAAACACACTGAAATATGTCTTATCTTTGGTCGAAGATGAGCAATGTATCATGAAAACATTCGGTCTTTTGAAATTTTTCCTTAATTCAGAAGGCTCTTTTGGCATTTAGAAGTAGCCAGTTACCCTATAAACCGAATTCAAAAGTCCCACTCAAGTACAGTCAGTCTCTTGCTACGTCGTACCCCTCGGGAATTCGAAAAAGTGGGTAAATTCCAGGAACTGCCACATAACGGGGTAAGCAGTAGTAGATGCTAATACGTAGTATAAAAATCGGTTGACAGTTTTGTGACAAAATAAACCGGATCGATGAAAACAGGTTAATCCCGTTAGCTGTTCTCAATATTTATGATTGTAAACTGTTTATTTATAACGGAATTTAAATCTACCACCCTGCGTATCCTGTATGTATCGAAAAAGTTTAAATCTTTTATGACGCCCTCAACTTAATATCAGTACATTGCATACGGTATTCAGCCGTTTTCAATTCTGTGTCTAGTTATCCCGAAACGCGGTGACCTATCCGACCGATCGGTCGTGTGATTTTCGGGTCGGCATAGGAGGAGGGTGCGCTCTGAATCGGATGCTGCTTAAGTTGGTAGAAAATAACTACAAGAGAATCGGTTGTGGAACGATGCACCTTGTGGGAGATTCGGAATGAAAAAGTTCAAGTAATGATGACACTGGGTCAAAGTTTGACTCCTCTAAGATACACGCACTATTTTTTAAGCGGATTCTCGCGCAAATTTTCCGTTAGGCGTGAGACGGGAGTCTGCTTAGAAGAAATCCGCTCCCATTCAGCCAACCGAAGCCATAGACGCCAGCCTACAGGAATTACAGCAACTCTTAAGCAGTTACCGATTCACAAACTAAAAGTGCATCTCACAAACTGTCCTTAGACCCGGGTTACGCTGACCTTTGGCAAACGATCTGTCTTATTTTATCGTTGAGAGCATCGTTCATTCATTACTAACCAGGATCATCACTTGGTAGCACAATGTCGTCCGCATACTCTAGATCAGACAGTCTGTCACCCGGGAGTAAATCGATACCGCTATCCTCGCACCAGGATAGGGCTGTTTTAAGAATTAAATTCATGACAAAGTAAAATAGAAACGGAGAGAGCAACCCTGTCGAACACCACTTTCCGTGGTGAACTCGGGCGAAAAAGTGCCGTAAGCTTGGACTCAGCTTCGGCTATTATTGTAGAGCGATTATACTATTGAAATTAACTCCTCGGACACACCCTTCAGAAAAGGGCAGCGCCAGAGTTTAGAGCCGTCGACTGAGTCGAAAGCCGCTTTCAGATCTAAGAAGACAGAGATGGTGGGTCTACGAAGTGTGTCTGTGTTCTAGGATTTGACGAAGAGTGAAGATGTGGTCTATACAACCTCAGCCAGGTCTAAAACCAGCCTGGTTCTCACGCGTGCGGCAGACAGTCGGCGGAGTATGATGCCAGCGAGAAGTTTAGAGACGATGTTGATTAAACTAATTCCTCTGTGGTTTTCACAAGAGGATCTGTCACATTTCTTGTAAATCAGTATGATCACCGACTCACACCATTCCGTTGAAACCTTTTCCCTCTCCCACACTGAGCACAGGAGTTTGGGTAACTCCAAAACTAAGGCTGAACCTCTATCCTTAAAAACCGATGGGGACAGCCGGTCGGAGGCAGAGGCTTTATGCCTTTCCAGATAACTTATTTCTCGGGTAACCTCCATTTCAGATGGACGTAGAGGACTGGTGTCATCTGGTAGTATTTGCGGTTATGGGGAGGTCTTGTGTCGACGAGGACCAGCTGAGCTGTGCCTTAAAATGCTCAACCCAACGTTCAAGACGGCGTTTCTGAATTTGAATCAGTGTGCCGTCAGACCCGTTAATTACCTCACTTACGCCTACTTTCCTTGGTCCTGTATTCGTAATTAATCGGAAAAGATGGCGACTATTATCGATAGTTGCAGCCTTCTTCATCTCTCTACACTTCCCTACCCACCACTACTCGCAGCACAGTTAAATCAGGTGTAGGGAGGTCTTGTACTGACGACGGTCAGCTAAACTGAGCCTTAAAAAGTTCTGCCCATCGATCGAGACGGCGTTGCTGAATATAAATCATTGTGCCGTGTGAAGCGTGAGGATGAGGTTGGATCTAGAGAACGCAAGATGATTGAAGTAGGGTCTTGTATGCGTATTTCGGAGACAGCATACATCTAAATGGAACGTTTGAAGGGTTTTAGCTAAGGCAGCTTGTTGACCGATCTGGTAGAGTATGCGGACATTGAATGCAGCTAAGTGAAAAGGGGATTTTGGTTTCAAAAATCTGATAGCCTCTGAGTGTTTTGCCTCATTAGTTGAACGCTGAGTTATATCCCATGGGTGGCTCAAACAGGATGCGTATCTCAAGATTTCGGAGTGAGATAGCAAATGCACTGTTGAGAAAGATGGTTTTCCAAAAGGATACCTAAGACCTTTGGGCACTGCATACTTCGCGGTTGCCCACGCCGACGAATGGTTTTCTCTGGGAGAACCCTAATCGGAGCCTCTGACTCAAAAGTCTCATCCGCAAGACAATGGGGCGTAGATCTAACGCGGATCGTGAGCGAAGCACCCTTAAGGGAGCTTCTGGAGATCTGTCACGCAAGGCCTTCGGTTTTGGGTTGTTTGTTGTTCGCTGGTGCGGTGATTATCAGTCCGCTTTTCGGAACAGCACCCAACGAGACAAGCGGAACGTGAATGGGACAGCACCTTTTTGGTTGGGGGCTGCCCAGCTTGAGCGGGTGATCGCTGTCCAATGAAGTGCGAAGACTTCTCCCACCGTCGAAAGGAAGTCCCAGGTACCCCACTGCCACGTCCATCTAGCGGGGTTTTTTTAGGCCGGTAAACTGCCTCTTACCATGTTTTTCTTACTGGAGGGACCTCTCCAAGGCGTGTGTGGATAGAAGAAGGAAGTCAGGAGATGCCCAAGCAGCTGGCCTTGTGAGACTAAGCTTCGTCTGGTCTCTACCCGTTGACCTTTCAGACGGTTGGATCTACGGATATGCAAAGCCATGCTGTGTAGCTCGCAGGGTCATGGAGGCACGCAAGCCATCACACCACGTCAAGGTGCAGTCTCGTCGTGATGGAGAGTTCTTTCCGAAAATCTTGGGATAAACTGCAACCCGGGTTATCAATAAAATGGTATTTGGATCACTGTATGCCCTTACGCCGTTACCACGGACACTACAACTATTAGGAATGATCTAGTCACTTGAATATGTGCTCTTTGGAACTGTAAAAGGAACGGCATATCGGGGGTCAGTAATTTTTGGGGCCGGAACGTCACGCGCAAACTGGTTTCCGCTACTTCAAGCCTAACTCAATGTGTTCAATGATGCTCGGCATAGGAGTAGGGTGTTGATTTCAATAATTTTGTGAATAATAATCAAGTTCGAAACTACAAATCAACTTCTTTCGTGTCTAAGTGGGCATCGTGGATGATAGATATTCCTACATGTAGTTGAATAACTGTCTTATTCATCGATCAGCCCAATTTCTAATTAGAGAAAGACAAATCGTATCTTCTCTTCCTTTCTTGCATGTGGGTATGAATGAAGCAACAGTAACATCATTCCTTGAGGATAAAGTAATCAAAAACACGCCTACCTACGCAACACATGCTGCTGCACGTCACAACAAACAGTAAAACCGCTCTGATTTACAAGTGAAATGACCCTAGATAAATCCAGAACTTAAAATGGATAAAAAGCAAACGAAGTACGAAACAATATATAATCATCACTGTTTCAAACGTTTCATGAGAGAAAAAACGTTTTTACATGCACAAAAGAAAAAAGAAGAGACATACATGTCCACCGAGTGAGAAAACCGGAGAATAAACAGTTACTGGTAGTACAATTCCAAATTCATCCCATCATTAATTTCATAGTCGCGCAATGTAACGTGATCTTTGTAAATGGTGTACCATTTCTTCAAAACAATACGTTCCGGAGCAGTACCGGTTTGGGCGGCAATAAGTTTTTTCAAATCCCCGACTTTATCGGTCGGGTTGCATTTAACCCGCACTTTTTTCCCCAATCGGTCGTTACAAGTGATCTCAATCATACTGAGAACTGAAACAAGACAAAAGAGAGAAAATGGATGATGATGAAATGGGAGAGAGAGAAAGTGGGTATCAAATATCAACTACGTGGAAGAATGGGCCGTGAGACTCGACCAACAAATCCTGGCGAATGGCAAAAGTCCCATGGAAAAATTTGCATGATTCAAACCAAACCGGGGACGAACTCAAATAGGATGCACAATTGTTCACTAAGGCGGTGTACAGCAGTTCCGATTGATCTTTACTAGCGGCGTTATGGTATTGAAAAGAATTCTGTTTCAGCTTCCCGGCAAGACAAAAGTGTGGTACAAGCAACAGGTCCCCAGGTAAATCCAGAAGGGAACACAGCCGTTCCGGTTCGGAAATTAGACGTGTGTTACATATTGCGTCCACTATTTTCGGTATATCATCTTCACTGCACGCTTTCAGGAAGGCTACATAAGCTATCAAACCTTTGCCGATACTAACCTCCGTAGTATCACCGTGTTGAACTTTTAATTTGCCTGACGTGCAACACTGGAGTAAGACACGAGCCACTGACATCTTGGGAACTAATCTTGAAATAACCTCATCAAAACATTTGCTTGAATCGGATCGAAATGAGCGATACAAACGTCGCAAAACAGACAAACGGGAGCTGAAATGAAATGTTTAAAGGTGAAAAACTGAATCCAAAGGCAAAGAGGTTTCCAGAAAAAAAGTACAAGCGAAAACGAGTGTATTAAATTCACAGACATAAACGCTGAATATTTAGATTAAGGAACAGAAGTCTTAACAATACTTGACTGCGTTGTATTGTACTTTAATGTAGTGTATTGATATTTGAGTCAAAAAGACAGTCGTTGCAGGGGGATAACACAAAAGTAAAAAAATGGAAAAGGACAATTATTATTCATTCCTAAACTTTCGTCTGCAGCTCAGTGGCAACTTCGTCTTTATCAGCGAGGATACAGAACAAATATGGGAGGATTTTTTGTATTTGGTGGGGGCTGTCAGGGGACACGTAAATTTCCCCTGAGAATTCCCACAGTATTAATTCTAAATCGATTTAAACCATTCGCCACCGTGGGAAAGTGCCGGTTTTTCCTCGATCCATGGGAGCTAAGGTAACGGACAAAACACCGCAACCTGATCGGTCCATTCTTTCTTTCTTCGATTTCGGAAGAATCTAGACAGTGCGCAACCCTATAAATATAGCACGGTCCTCCATTAGTCAAAGGACATTTCTGTCGCTTTCAATAAACGCTCGCACTGTTTGTAGCTATCTTTTGGCTGGGATTGTTGGGAAACCTCTCGCGGGACACAATCCGGTGACAGACTGGCATCTTTCCACCAACTTCAAGGCGGTATAAACGACGTTTTTAGTTGGTCTCTACCCCATTTACTCATGCTTAATGTTTCCAAATGTGTTGACGTTCCCTTCAACCTTAAAACTGGCTCCCGTTACCAAGCTACCTTTATTGATTTCCCTGACCTCGTCCAGAACAGTCACAGCATTCCCAAAGCTGACTGTTCAATACCTTGGAGTCGTTCTATCCCACAATCTCTCTAGCATTAGACATGTAGAGAACGTTTACAATAGGGTTTGTAAACTTTCTTTTTATGCTTTCAGGTTTAGGATGCTTGCTGTTCTCATAAACGTAATTTTCAAATTCGTGGTAGCATGAATCCTCCCTCATTGGCTGTTCCCCTGTATTTCTTCCCGGCCTGAAAGAAAAAGATTTCATATTAATTTCCAGATCCATAAAACTCCTTTACTGATGTAATGGCATGTCCAGAGATGTCCTGGTTGATTTTATTGCGTGCAAGTAAAAAAAAATAGCCGATAGAATTTTTAATAACGGAGATCACTGCTTGCACAACGAACTTAAATCCCTGTCAGACCCCTGTATCCGCTCCCATTATAAGCTCCTTCCAGCGTGCATCGTCACATACAGAAACAGTATTCTCCCTTTTCTTACCCGCTTTCTAGTGGATCGGGCACCAATTATTACAAGTTTGGTGGACCACTTCATGAATTAGTTTATTTATTCATTTTAATCAGTCACTATCGTCTCCTAGCCCGCGGTTTGCAGTCGTTTTAATTAACCACTGAAGCGATTCCTTTCCCCTACTTCCACTGTATTATCGTAAAAAGTCGCCGAAAATTTACCCTTCGGGTGCATAAAGCTTACTTTGACTTGACTTGATTTGGACACAACAGGCGAGAGGATAAAACAGACAATTTAATAGTTTTAGCTAATTGCATCAACGAAGACTTCGAATAACGACTTAATCAACATAGACCAAAGCACCATAGGGATAAAGCCCCGTAAAACCATCTCGCAAGTTCCACCCTAGCTCAACACGTCATGTCGCCCTGGATTCCGGATGAGTGAAGGTAAAAATGCACGATTCATAACGAGATGTGAACTTACGAAAGCCTATCGAGAGACAGCGAAATTTGGGAGTCTCAAAGAGCATAGAATGTGCCGTCACAATGGGAAATAATTATAGGCTACTCCAGCTTATTCGAGTCACCGGTCGAAAATCTTTCGGTGTGAGCGAAATTATCTATGAAGCTGAGGGCTACCTGACCAACCAAAAAATCTATAGCGCTAATCAAACCAAAGTCACTTGGGTACACTTGATGTCCGCACACTCAATCAGATGCCTCCAAATGTCTCAGAGTGGTCGGGAGTGGGTGTCTCGGGCTCCGAAATGGCCATTCGTCCCAAACTCCTCTAGAAATGCTCCCAAAGGACCAAGCGCCTGAAGTAGCTTCTGCTGAGGAAGTNGTGGCGGAGGTGTTAACACTAAAGTGGGAGGGCAAGGGCGAACACCCGGCGCTTTCCACCGGGTTGACTGATCACTGGTAGTCAGTCTAGGGGAGTTGGCTAAACCCTGATTCCAAACCACCCACACCTGGCGTAAGAAGCTCACAGTGGCACCAATCTTCGGCGCAACCGAACCGGTCTCCAAAGTTAATCCACCGTGATACTCACCGGCAAGTGCACGACTCAAGGGCAACCTGGGTATCCTGGATAGTTGGCCACATCCGAAAGACATACGAACTACCTCTTGAAAGTGCACCTTGGCCACTATCCACGGGACCGC